GCGGAGAGGATGAATATGGATGAAATGGTGGGGTGGCAAGTCGCGCTGATCACCACGCGCAGCGCCATTTGCCGCAGCGCGATCCGGAAGCCGAATGCTAGATCGTACCGCTTGCAGGCCAAATATGCTCCTCCTGTTGTGGAAATGAAGATTGTTTATGATCTTGTATTATCACTGACCTCGAGGTGTATATAAACACCTCGACTAAGTGAGGTTCAGTTTATTTCCTGCAATAAATCTTCCTCTCAAGAACTGGTCGTAACACCTCCCTACGTTGATATTGGAATCTTTTGGGAGGATGAATAACTGCATTGCATTACACTATTGTGTAGTGATAGCTGCTCCTCCTAGAAATTCTTTTATGAGCCAAATCACCTCAAAATGCAAACAATCCTGAGTAGGGGTGGAGTGCATGGCGCGTCTCAAAAAGGGACTGTCAATAAAGAATGCTTAACCCTCTTATGTATGAAGTAAATAAATGAAGGAAGTTTTATGTATTTTCCTCCACAGAACACTGGCTTGTTGAAAAAATACAATAAAAACTTTTCCAGAAATCGCAATGTTCAAGCAGAATTCGCCCGTCCGATCGTCACAAACTCGTCCGATTTGAACATGTGCCAAACTTGGAACGTTGGTTGCCGGCTGAATGACCTTTTTAATGCTTTTGATTGCCATTCGCTTAACTAACAGCTCTTCTCAGATTTCACTAACACATTTAAAATTCGATGTTGATGTATCGTTTCGAAAATCAGATTTACTTCAGTTCATCACTACGCCGACGAAGGTCGGTGACGGATCTTATTACGTAAATTCAACTAATTCAAATAGTGTGCAGGTATCCTTGAGTTCAAAAATAACTGATTATCTATACCTTAGAATGGAAGTACATTAGAGCTCCAGGTATGCAATATAGCGGAGGAATGTGATGTACTGAAGATGATGAATGCGATGACAATCACAACCAGTCCGGTGCCCGACCGTTCAGAGCCGAGATTGTTTGGACAGCCAAAAGTGGTACGTGTTTGTTTATCAATAAAGGATTAAGGGGGGAGGCTGTAGGAAAGCTCCAT